CTGATGAGGAGGAGGCCGACGACGACCAACAGAACGAAGACAATGACAACGACTCGGAGACCGCAGAGGCAGAGGAAAGGGATGTCCGGAAGATTGGGCGCAGTTTTTTCGACGACGAGGCGGAGCTGTCCGGCGATGAGGACGACGTGTCCAGCGATGAGGAGGAGGGCGACGGCGACGACCACTACGACAACGACGGCGCCGATCAGGAGGACCTGCCGTCGGACGAGGAGCTGAGGAAACAGGTCGAGCGGATCCACCAGTAAGTCATCGCCCATAAAGTGGACCACTCATTGATGTAATGACTGATTGGTTGTGTTTTTTACAGTAAAAAACTCTTGGATGAAGACAAGCGACAACTAATGGTCTTAAAGGAGATGATGTTCGCCGACGGAGACCTTCACGACGACGACGCCGTCCGGCAGAAGAAGTTTCGCTGGAATTTCGGCCAAAACGACGACTTTGTCAACGATTACGTGAACGAAGACTCCGAAGGAGATTACGTGGACTCCGACGACGAGAAGGATGCCGTCAAGAGTCCGGCGCTTAAAATGTCGCTGAAAATGACGGTCGAGTCGGAGACCGAAACCAAGACTGACCACAACTTAGAGAAATTAAAGTCGAGGTTTGGTCTCAATCTGAAGGCTGTCAACACGACTGGGGATAAGGAGTTTGTTCAGAAAAAGACGGTTAATCTGCAGAGTTTTGTGGTGAGAGACGAGCGCCTGAAGACATTGTGCGCCCCGAAGAGAGCACTTCCCACGAATGCCAGCCATTCGTTCAAATCCAATAAGAAGTTGAAGGCGTCGAAGAAAAAGGAGACAAAAGTATCGATTTTCGATTTGATGTGAATTTTAAACTTAATTTGTAGTTATATTTAACTTTTTATTTAATTTTTTAATTAAAACCAATGCCTGTATTAAAAACGTATGTCTTTTATATTGTGTTTAAAAAATAAATACTTAATTAAACCGAAACTTATAGCGTATTTCACATCAATCCTTCATTTTAATGATCTCGACGTTAGTGTAGCTCTCGAGCGACCCGTTGAATGACTTCTGGTCGATGGGGTCGACACGTATTCGCGTGTATTTACTTTTGGACAGTCGGCCGGTGTTGATGACCACCGCTCGCGATATGTTCTGCGCGGACATCGGGTGTCAACGAAAGCATTGATTAGTTTTTTAAAGTGGTTTTCGATGAATGCATACAAACCTTAACAAACTCTTTGAGATCGGACGGCAGTATGAGTAGGTGTGGGCTCACCGGTAGCCGCAAAAAGTCGTATTTCGTGAACTCCACGTTCACATCTGGGTTCGGCGGGAATATGGGGTAAAAGTTGCGCTGATTTACGATATGTTTGCAAAGTCTGGACAATCGCTCGATGTTTTGGCCGCTAATTTGAAAATCAATTTCACAATCAACTGGTGGTTAAGAAGTCAATCAAAAAGATTGGAATCAATTCTTACGCCGAGATCTCCTCTTTGCTCAGATGAAGCAATACATCGGTCGATGTCATGGCGATGACAACGCCACTGATGTTCAAAACGCATGGATTGGAAAAGTAGTGTATTTTATGCGATTTATACGAATTGAAAGCCATTGTCGGCATTATGTTGAAGACATTCAGATCCCGTGTCGATGGTATGACAATGGCTTCGGTCTTCAAGTCCTGGAGTTCTTCAGATATGTATCGCATTTGAGAGTTAAAGTAGCGATCAATTGGCTCATCAGTGGTCAGCAACTTCTCGTTCATAGTGTCCACAAAAGGTCCTAAAAGTATGCAGAAGTCGGGCTCGTATTTCTTCACTTTCTCCATCAACTTCTTCAGCGGTTCCCAATCGAGCGACTGGTGGCTATTGAAGGGTCCGACGCCTACCATCAGATGCAATGGTTGGCTAAACGTTGGCACAACAGCTGGCGATTGAGTAATTTTGTCCAAATCGATGATCTCTTGGACAATGAGTGACTTTCCGGACTCATTGATGGCTTTACAGGCAATCACTTGTCCGGCAAACAGCGAATAACTACTCAAACGACTCAAATCCAAGTCAATGGACTCGCTGTTCGTCAGATACCGGGAGCCCTCGAACCGCAACGAGTCGGCCGACAGTCTGTGCTTTTGGTTGCAGTCATAACACACGCGTCCGATGTAATAGGACTCCGACGGCGACGGCACTGAGAACTGGTTCCACGACTCGATGTCCAGCTTCTCCTTCAAGAGCTCCGAGAACTCGTCGATTATGTCATTCAATATCTCATTAGTTTCAGTGATCTTTAGTGACATAAACTTATAGGTCTCGCACAGAGTGATCGACTTGTCGTACGGCTCGACAGTGTATTTGGTTTTCGAGCGGTTCCGCCACTCGTGATCCGAGTAACTGTTCCCGAAGTAACACAACGTATTCGTGTTTATCGTCTCATCGATTCTGTGGTTAAACATATAATTATCATTAAATACAGTGAAACTCAAAATGAGTTGTTTGTCCAATACTTCAGCGACGTGTTGATGGACTCATCTGAAGCGGTGGTCACTGCAGGTGTGGTCATAGCGCTGACGTCCATATACTCCATGGTCTGGTCGACCGATTTTTCAGGTGTTTTCGGTGCGTCCGCTGCCTCTTGACTGTCGACATCAATCACTTCCGGGTCTTCGGTAATCGACTCGTCATTGGCCACCACTTCAATCTAACGAAGCGAACGACTCGTTAAACCAAATAAAAACAAAGTCTTAAGACAATTGATCCCATACTTGAGTTGTGGGCCGATTATTATCACCCAATTTGTCACTCATTTCCGTAATCAACGCTTTGAAGCTCTGGTTGGCGTTGAACGCGGACTTCGATGTCGAGGCCTTCGGCGTGCGATTGACTTTCGCCGCCAATGTCTTGGACTTCTTGTACTCATTGATGGCCTTCTTATCCAAGTAGTCCGTCTGGAAGTCGTCCACAACATCGATGGTCAGCTCCTTCTTGTCGTACTTCATGACGAACGCCAACAGTTCCGCACAGACGGCCTCTTCGCTTATGTCGTGGATGACACACAAGTCTTTCACTGCCATCGCCATCGGTAGCCAACACATGAGATATGAAACCATCAAACGATTAATTATCACAAAAAAGTGGTGAAAAACGAGACAATACTCACACTTATCGACCACTTCATCGGCGACGGTGTGGTAAAAGTCGGACAACTCGTCCCGTAGTTTCTGGTCACAGATCAGCGACACCATTGTGTGTTGGGATCAGATTGGGGTGATGTGTTGGTGGTGGTGATGATAATGAACGGTTAAAAAACTTATGAAAAACTTGTGTTTTGTTTGACAACACAGTGTTTGGCGCCAAATGTGTGCATCACGTGATCACAACATACCCTCCCATACGGTGTGAACGTCACGTGCTTTCCGTTTCCTGTCTTTCCTTTTCAAACGTGTCGTCAGTTTGTGATCACATTTTTGGTGAGTCTTTGCCTCCGGTTTTGATTACCATTTCGATGATAATCGTGTCTTAACGGACACCTAAGCCGTTGATAACACTATTACCTGCCGTACCATTGATACCATTGATACCACACCACTACTCGCGAGTCATATACTAATAATCGCAATGTTTTTGTTGATCGCAGCGAAGACCTCGTCAGCCATTCATCGGACGTAATGCCGAAACAGATAAAAGAGATCAAAGACTTCTTACTGACGGCCCGTCGGAAGGACGCCAAGTCCGTGAAGATCAAGAAGAATAAGGATAACGTGAAGTTCAAAGTCCGCTGCAGTCGCTATCTCTTCACATTAGTCATACAGGACAGGGAAAAGGCCGAGAAGTTGAAGCAATCCCTCCCACCCGGCCTTCAGGTCAAAGAGTTGAAGTGATTGTCACCACCAGTTGGTCCCATTGTCTATGTATTTGTTTATGAAAACCAAACATTTGTTTATAAATCTTAATAAAACTGATGATTGAATGACTGCTTGACAACACGCGTGTGACCACTGTTTTCATTGACTTTTTATTTGTTTGGATCTGTTTTTAAGACTATTTAAGACATTGTTTTGTTGAACTCATTATGAGTTGTAATGTGTTTGTGAAGAGTCGGCACATCCGCGGCCAAAGTGTCGTATTAGTGCCGTATAGGGACTGTCATGTGGTTAAGTATAACGAGTGGATGAGAGACCCGGGGCTGCAATACTTGACCGGTTCCGAGCCGTTGACACTCGAGGAAGAGTACGAAATGATGGCCAGTTGGACGTCCGATGAGAATAAGTGCACATTCATTATACTCGACAAACAGCTGTTCCACGCGAGCGGTGATAGCCATGAAGTCGAGGCAATGATTGGCGACATTAACCTGTTCTTCGACACGAGCGCCGATTCGGTGGTAAAGACAGCGGAGGTTGAGATAATGATCGCCGAAGAGTCGCACAGAGGTCTCGGCAAAGGCAAAGAGTCGGTGCTATTGATGCTGAGGTTCGCCGTTGAGGTGATCGGCGTTCAGAGGTTTGTGGCGAAAATCAAATACAATAACCGTTCGTCGCATTCAATGTTCGCGACATTGGGTTTCACTGAAGTGTCCAGAAGTGATGTCTTCGAGGAAATCACTTACCATTTGGATGTCAGCGACCAGTGGTTTGATGGCATCAAAAGCCGCACACATTATACTGAATACGTTTTGCTGTAGAAACAAAAAAAGTTGTCAAAAACTTTTGACAACTTTTTTCCGGTTACGAAATGAAAACAAATTCAAAGCCCGTGTTATTGCTATGAAATTATAACTTTTTATTTATACATTTCAAATGCAATTAAAAACATATTCTCTTATGATTTGCAATAAAAAATAATAATTAAAATTATAAAAAACGAGAAAACATTTGCTTCGCTTTGCACTAAAAAGTCATTTGAAAATAAAACGATAAATCACTTTATTTTTGTTGTTATGAAATTCATAATAATTTATATATTATATGAATTAATCACATAATAGTAGGGCTTATTAGTAGGGGAAAGGGATGTGTTATCTATCGATCTGTTCGTTGCGAATGTTGGGATTAAATCGGGGGTCGAGTAGTGGGTCGCTGTCGGCGCTCTCGCGGCCAAACTTCAGGAAATAGTGGATTAGAGTACATATGCCTATAAATACTAGAATTGCGACTATAATTAAGCGCCGGTATGTGAAGGCCGGCATATTTCGTCTGTTGGTGAACGTCGAGTGCGATCTGAGGGACAAATCAAGGCATAAAAACGAGTGTTTAGTAAACAAACCTTTCGGACAGTGATTGAGTGAAAAGTTTAGACAACTTTTCGAAAAACTTAATTCAAAACCACAGTAAAAGTATAGCAAAATAAAACACATTTATAATCGACATAACGGTGCCGTCAGTGTCTACAACATACCGGAGCCATCGGGACAGGAACTCCATCGGCGATTTGCGTCTATACTTGTCGTCATCGATGTCTAACAGCGACTTTCGGGAGCCGTTATCGTAGGACTTATTGGTTCGGGTGGTGGACGTCATAGAGTAGGTGCTGTCACTCGTATTGATGTAATTGTTGACCACATTATTGACGGCAATCGGAACGTTGGATGAGTTGGTGTTCGGGTTGTGATGAATCACTTGAGGCACTGATGAGTGGGTCAGAGAGGTGTCCAGCGACTGGTCCATCGACAGCGAGCTGTGGTTGAGCTCCGAATAGGAGGCGTCCGACGAGTCGATCAAAGGCATGCCTAACCCGATGCGAGCCCAGCCCTCGTCGGCCAGTGTCCTCCTGAGCGCACTGACCACCGGACTGTTGGCCACGGCTTGGGCCGGGAATATGGGTTTGTGACACGAGGGACACGTATAGCCCGCCGGCGCCGTATTGGGCGGCAACTCATTGGCCAATCGGTTCAGACAACTCACGTGATAGATGTCTG